GTTTCTAGGGATGAGTCGGATGCCGTACTGGCTGCCCGGCTCGACAGCTTCCTGACTTTCCTCGGACCAGGCGGCTTTGCCACTCCCGATGATGTGGAAGCACTGGAATCGTGCCAGGCTGGGTTCCGCGCCACCGAAGTTGAGTGGTCAGACGTTTCCAGGGGTATGCTCAGACCCTCCCCAAACACGTCGGATGAGCTACAGATGCGGGGATTCTGGCGGCAATGGCACGCCCATATGCTGGGGTTGAGCAAGGCCTATGTCCAGGACGGGCCGTTCAATGGAACTGAAACCACCGCGGCTTCGGGAACCGACGCCAGGCTCTCTGCCGGACCAGGTGGACAATGACGGCCAACAGCCAGCCCACCCTGCGGGAACTGGTAGAGGATTTCCTGTACAGGGAAGCGGCGCTTCTCGACGACTGGCGCCTGGACGACTGGGTCAGCCTGTTTACCGAGGATGGACGTTACGTGGTTCCCACCACCGATCTGCCTGAAGGAGATCCCCAGCGCGACCTGGTGTTCATCGACGACGACATTACCCGATTGCGCGCCCGGGCGGTTCGGTTGAACAGCCGTCGCGCCCACCGCGAGTACCCCTGGTCGCGGACACGCCGGTTCGTCTCCAACGTGCGTGTTGAGGAAACCAACGATGGGGAACTTCGGGTCACCTCCAACGTCCTGGTCTACCGGTCCGCGGCGGTGAGGGAGCTCCCTTCGTCGGCAGTATCGACTACGTCTTGAGATGGGTCGGCGGGGACCTGAAAATATCGCACCGACGCGCGGTGCTGGACCTGGAAGCCCTCTCCTGGCACGGAGCGTTGAGCATCATTTTTTGAATGCCCTGATGAATCGACTCGTCGCAGCGGCGAGTTTGCAGAGGCCAGCATTTGAGATTGGAAAGAATGAACTTTCCGGGCCTGGAGTGTTGAGAAAACAGGCGGTGCAGGTAGTGGGCCCGATGGATCTGAGGACGGGGGGCCATCAGACTGGCGAGCCTGCCTCGGCTAAGACCGTCACGGTGAGGGGGGCGAATGATTTACGAACGCCAATATAAAAATGGTAAGTTTTGCTATCACGCCAGGATTATTCCCACATCTTTTCCCCGCATGGAGATCCGGATAATCAGGTTTTCCCAGCCTTAAGATAATGCAGCAACCCGGGGCGGTCCAGTTCGGGCGTGCCACACCACTTACCACCCATTCCGGGGCTGAATGCGCACCCGGCAGAGTCGGGGTATACTGGGCCTGACAGACACCAAGTCGTGAGAAAGCGTGGTATTTACGATGCAGCCACTGAGCGATATCCGAGTGCTCGCCGTGACGGTATTCCTGGCGGGCCCGTACCTCAGCATGAACCTGGCACGTTTGGGAGCCGAGGTCATCAAGGTGGAGATACCGGGGCGCGGAGACCCAGTCCGGGGCAACGGGCCATTCGCAGGGCCGGAGGGCATCCACAACACGCCCCAGACTGAGCAGGATATTGCCACCCGATTCCTGAAACGCACCCAAGGGGTGAAGAGCGTCACCCTGAACCTGAGAGACCCCAAGGGACGGGAGATGTTCCTCGACATGGCCCGCAAGTCCGACATTGTCGTGGAGAACCTGGCCCCCGGGTCAATGCGCCGGCTGGGGCTGGGATATGACGACGTATCCGCGGTCAATCCGGGCATCATCTACTGCTCCATTGCCGGTTACGGCCAGACAGGCCCCTATGCCGACCGGCCGGCCCACGACCCTCAGATCCAGGGCATGAGCGGTTTGATGGATATTAACGGCGATGCCGACGGGCCCCCCACCAAGGTGGGGTTTTACATCGGCGACCTGGTAACGCCCCTGTTCGCCGCCTACTCCATTATGGGAGCGTTGCGGGAGAAGGAGCGGACGGGAAGTGGGCAACATCTGGACGTTTCCATGATGGACACCCTCGCGGCCCTGATGTTCATGGAAAACCTGGAGGAGGACGTGCAACAGGGCAATCCCCTGCGTAGCGGCAACACCAGCCGGGGCGGACCCACCGGTCTGTACCACGCCTCCGACGCTGACCTGCTCATCACCGCCGCCAGCGACGACCAGTGGAGGCGGTTGTGCGAAGCGTTGTCCGCCCCGGAACTCTCTGAAGACCGGCGCTTCACCGACTACACTTCCCGGTCCATCAATGTTCGCGATGCCCGAGACGAAGTCCAGAAGCGCGTCGGCAAGATGACGCAGGCCGAAATCCTGGCACGGCTGGAGGAGTCCGACGTCCCATGCGGCCCGGTCCGAACCGTGCCGGACATCATTGCCGACCCTCACTTCTACAAAAGAGGAACACTCCAGCCCATGCGCCACGGGACCATGGATGCCCCGGTTCCCGGCGGGATAGCGTCTGGGTTCCCGGTAGTGTTCTCGGACGGGCCACTGCCAACATTGCCCGGCGCGCCGACGTTAGGGATGCACAACGGAGAGATTTACGGGAAGCTTCTGGACCTGGACGAGTCCGACCTGGAAGGGTTGTACTCCGGCGGAGTGATCTAGAGCCAGCATGGAAGATTCGACGGTAACCCCAGAGTGGTGGGCTTAAGGGGGCCTGTTCGGGGGCTGCAACTTTAACGTCGTTTGTTCCGGTCACGCCATTATCCGCCGGAACAGTACCCACAAGACCTGGGACAATCTTTGGAGTTAATTGCAAGACTATAAAGGAGAGGCAAGCTGACAGTTCACGGTAGCTAAGACCCTGCACCAACAAGTAGAATGAAAGCAGACGGCTACGGAATATTTCAGGAGACAAGAATGGGAACTTTCCGGATCACGGTGGAGATAGGAGACCCACATGGGCAGCGCTTCGAACAAGTCGAAATGCTGGTAGATACCGGGGCCACATTCACCAAGGCCCCCAGGGAACTGCTGGAAGGGCTCGGCGTACCGGTGGAGAGCACCTACACCGCCGAACTGGCCGACGGAAGCCGCATTGAACGGACCCGAGGCAGGACAATGATCCGGTTGCAGGGAAAGGAATACCCCACGCCGATAACCTTCGGAGAAGCCGGGGAGCAGAGCCTGCTGGGCGCCATGGCCCTGGAAGACGCGATGCTGGCAGTAGACCCCCATTCCAAGAGGCTCATGCCGGTCCATGCCCTGGAAATGGCCGAAGGGCGGGGCAGTCCTTTCGCTTAACCTGGAGGTGTCGGCCATCGCTTCACTCCAAGTGAAAGCTATAAGCGGCGCGGACCGGGCTGAGCCGTTGACCATTTCCAACCTCAACAACCTTATCCACGGACCCCAGCATGCAATCATCCGGTCCCAATTGACGCTCGATTTGGGTGGCTTGAAGTGGGTCACAAGCGGGACCCACGGCCTTTACTGCCGCTTCCGCTGGAGCACCGGTAACCCGTCCAAACAACCTATCTGCGAGGTTCACATGAGGTTCAAGGCCAAACCGCTGCGGTCGGTGATGTTCGTTCCCGGCAATCGGGAAGACTGGATGCGCAAGGCCCACCAGTACGGGCCGGACGCCCTGATCCTGGACCTGGAAGACTCGGTGCCGGAGGATGAAAAGGAGAAGGCCCGTTCCCTGGTGGCCGGCATGGTCGATGAGCTGGGTTCGGCCGGACAGACCCTTTTCGTCCGCGTCAACCGACTGGAAACCGGACTGACCGGGTTTGACCTGGAAGCTGTGACCAGCCCCCATCTTTACGGCATTCTGCTTCCCAAGGTGGAGCGTCCTGAGGACGTGGTTGAGGTGGACACTCTCCTCAGATTCTTCGAACGCAAGGCAGGAATGGCCATAGGGTCGATCTGTATTGATCCGGCCCTGGAAACGGCCCAGGGCATCCGGCAGGCTTACGACATCGCCGTGGCCTCGGAACGGGTGGCCCACATGGGCGGAAGCGGCGGCAAGGGCGGTGACACCGCGCGCTCCATCGGATCCAGTGGACGCCGGAAGGAATGGAGACCCTGTTTATCAAGTCCAAGGTGCTGGTAGATTCCCGCTCCGCCGGAATCGAATTTCCCATCAGCGGGGGCTGGTTCGATATCCACGACCTGGACGGCCTGCGCGACCTGGCCAACCAGTTGAAACAACTGGGGTATACCGGAATGAACCTCATCCACCCGTCCCACGTTCCGGTGGTCAACGACGTGTTCACCCCCGGCCCCGAGCAGATTGCTCACTGGAAGGGTCTACTGAAAGCCATGGAGGAACAGAGGCAGGCCGGCAGCGCGGTCGTAACCTACGCAGGCGACATGGTGGACATCGCCCACGAGGAAACCGCCCGGACCATGCTGGAGATGGTCCGCCATTGGGGCATCAACACCGAGGCAGCTGCGGACTAACGATTGCGACGGGCAAAGGGGCCGGAGCGACCAGGGCTATCACATACGGAACTGCTTTCCCGCAACGAATCTTGCTCGAAAGCTGAAACGGGTCTGCCCTAGATTCGAGGTTCCTGCCTTCGCAGGAACGACGGATTGGCCCCAATACCTGAAATGCGATAGCCCTGCCGGAGCAACAACCCGACCCGTATTCCGAGCGGCAACGCCTCATGGTGTGCCAGTCGGCAGCCCCTCAGTGGCCCGCCAGAAGCATTGCGACGTCAGGTGAGGGTGAATAGCGATGCTGCGCGAATTAGTCTCCTGCGAACCGAAGGTCAGGAATTGTCTTACTGCCGTTGCCTGGGGTGTTTGGCCAGAAAATCGTCCGCAATCTCCTCAAACGTTGCAAAGCGCACGCCGTCGTGAGAGCGGATGTATTCCGTGATGCGCTCCAGCATCAGCAGCACCTGCGGCCGGCCGCTCACGTCCGGATGAATAGTTATGGGGAACACCGCCTCGTCGTATTCCCGGTACACCCAATCGAACTGGTCCCGCCACATCGATTCAATGTCCCTGGGATTTACGAACCCGTGGCTGTTGGGCGACTTCTTGATGAACATCATCGGCGGCAGGTCGTCCAGGTACCAGTTGGCCGGTATCTCCACCAGGTCGGTCTCCTCGCCACGCTCCAGGGCGTGCATCCAGTAGTCTGCCGGCATGGCATAGTCAATCTTCGTCCATCGGTCGCCCACGCGGACATAGTAGCACTCAAAATCGCGGTGCATCAGGCTGTGGTCATATTTGATACCGTGCTTCAGCAGCAGTTCGTTGGTAACGTGGCTGAACTCCCACCATGGCGCGACGTAGCCCCGTGGCCGTTGCCCCGAAAGCTCGGTAATCAGGTCGATGCAGCGCAGCAACACTACCTCCTCCTGCTCCGGCGACATGGCGATGGGATTCTCGTGGGAGTAGCCGTGCATTCCGACCTCATGCCCTTGCTCCACAATCATCCGGCATTCATCCGGAAAGGTCTCGATGGAGTGGCCAGGGATAAACCAGCTGGTCTTGATGTCCAGTCGTTCAAAGAGTTTCAGCAGCCGGGGCGTTCCCACTTCCCCGGCGAACACGCCGCGGGAAATATCGTCAGGTGAGTCCTCCCCGCCATAGGAACCCAGCCAACCGCCAACGGCGTCCAGGTCAACCCCAAACGCGCACAGAATTTGTTTGCCGGCCATCTCAATTACCTCGAGGTGTCCTGTTGCCAAGGCTCGGCCCATCATACACCCCGCCTTTCCGCGCTACAATTGGCCCGTCTCGCAAAGGCAACTTCGAGCCGGTGTCGCGAGGGAACTGACGGAAAACAGGAGCGTGTAATTTATGTGGAAACCGCAGGATTCATCTGCCTGGGTAACAAGTGGGGTGGCATGTCCGCCAACATCCAGCGCGCCGGCTACCCCATTATTGTGTAAGACCTTCGCGAGGAAACCGGTCTCGTCCACCACCATAAGCGCCTCCGCATCGGCCAGGTGCTCCACCACACACCTCGCCAGACCGTCGTGGCCCAGGCCGGCATCCTAATGGCAGGTGGAAAGCAGACGCCCTCTATTCTGGGGATGTCGTACTGGTGGTTTAACAGCTTTGAGATTATGAGCTGGCCCGCCCCAATCCGTCATTCCGGCGAAAGCCGGAATGACGATGGATTGACCAACTCGGTTAGTCCTCAATCCAAAAAAGTTTGATTGCCAGCCGTCCCACTCCCGGGGAAGCCTGGACCAAGAAGTCCCCTGGACTCCCAGTACAAAGGGAGTCCAGGGGACTTCTTGCTTGCCGCGGAACGGTCCCCAACGAAGCTTTGGCCGCGCGGGCAGGTTACTTCATAAATTTCGTCGCCGAGGGCACCGGATCGGGGTCGCCCATGGGATCCCGTTCGTCCTCTTTGGTCTGGATCTCGATCTGCAACCTTATGCCGTTGGGGTCGTTGAAGTAGAAGGTCTTGCCCCAATGCCTTTCGATGACATCGGTAACTTCAACGCCGTTGTCCTTCAACAGTTGCAGCGCTTCGTTGAACTCTTCCTCGGTGGCGACCGGGATAGCGAAGTGGTTCAGGTACTGGTTGCCGGTCCTGGTCAGGTCCTCATCGGTCTCAAAGAAAGCGAAAGCGTTGCCTCCGCCAATCTCGACGTTATAGTGCCGTCCGCCGCTGGGGGTGCGCATGGTACGGGCTATCTTCATTCCCAGGATGCCGCAATAGAACTGGACGGTAGCTTCCATGTCGTTGGTGTTGACGGCCACGTGGTCAATGTTGGTTGTCTTGAACATGATACCGCCTCCTGCTGTTGTGGGGTTGGCTACATATTACCAGAGGGGGATTGGCGCTGTTAGGCCTGGCTAACCAGCCTCAATGTCCAGACTGACCCGGTTCTCATCCGGAGCTAAACTAAAGCCACGGTGGAATGTACATAGTCGCGCTAAGGAAGAGCACGGCCTGAGTTCGCTGTGCTCTTTGGTAAACCTGCAGAAATGGGCCAGGAAGCCTGCGGCCGGGCTAGACGAACCAGCCCATGCCTTCCCAGTGGCCGCGCAGGAAGGCTATCTGGCCTCCGTGGACGATGTTGTCATAGACCAGGACACCCAGGATGGTCTCTTTCGGCTCGGGGTCAGAACCGGGCCTCAGGCTCATGGTGGCGCTCAACTCCTCGTCGGTTACGGAGGACATATAGTCCCGGCAGCAGGCCTTCATGGCCTCATAGTACCCTACCAGGACGTCTTTGGAGGGAAGCGGCCACGCGGCCACGCGCGCCGCGTCCCAGCCCTGGCCGGTCGTTTCCGGGTCGTCGCTCAGGCCGAATTTCTCGCACCAACCGCCCTCTATCCATATCTGAGGCTTGCCCTGGAACCTGGTATTCATGAAGACGTCCACCACCCGGCTCATGTGGAAGAGGAGCCAACCGATGGAATTGTCGCTGTCGGATATCCGGCGCGCCAGTGTCTCATCACTCAGCCCGTCTATGGCACGGTCTACCATACCCCAGTTACGTTCCAGCGCATTTGATACTCCGGTGGAAACAGCCATTATTACTCTCCAAAAGTTTCGTTAGTTTGGGGTTGCGGGGCTAATTGTAACAGCCCCAAAACTGGAATGGTAAGGCAGCGCCGACGATCAAAAAGAGACCTGCTACTGATCTGCTGCTGTAGTGACCTGCCCCCCGGTGGTTGTACCACTTTATTAGTCCGGCGAGCACTGGGGCAGAATCCGCATGGATCAGTTATCAGGGAGTAGACCACATGCTCCGCTGGTATTCCGAGGGCGTCAGGAGGTTTCGTATGCCATACCACCCTTGATTTCGTGCCTGCGCGGCTCGCTCAGATCTTGACCCTGGCCTTGCTTGCATCGGCCTTACTGCCGTAATACATCACCCCGAAAAATGATTTCCGGCCAGATATCCGGGCCAGCGGGTAGTCGTGGATGTCTGTAGCCTGGGTCTATTTGTCGTTCACTCCCAAAACCAACGTGGTTGCTCCGTGGGAGTGGCTATGGTCTTCATGTTCTTCTTTGGATTGATGGCGGCGCTCATGGTTGTCGTCCTCTTTTGAATCTACAGAGTCTGGCATGTGCTCTGCATGAGCGCCGGCGCCTTCCACAACCTCTGCCCGCTCTATCCTCAGAGCGGTGAGCTCGGCGGCCACCTGATCCGGGGAAGTCAGGGATGCGAGGTCGTCCTGGCTCCACCCGGAAGGTGGTGACGATTGATCATGGCTTACGAAGAGGAGCTTGCCCCTTGGAGTCAGGGCCTGGGCGGCTCTCGAGAGCATCTGCGCCCGCTGACCGGGCCATAAGTGTATGTAGAAGGAAATAATCAGGTCGTACAGACCGTTTGGCCGGAAGGTTGTCACGTCTGAGGCGACGAACTCCACTCCAACCCGCTGGTCAGCCGCCTGGGCTTTCCCTTTCTCAATGGCAACGTCAGAGAAGTCAACAGCAGTTACGTGCCAACCGTGCTGGGCCAGCCATATGGCGTTTCCGCCCGAGCCACATCCCAGGTCGAGGGCACGCCCCGGCTTCAGATCCCCAGTGTGTGTTTCCAGCAACTCGTCATGACCGGCGAAGGTATGGCCCATCGTGGACCAGATATCGTTCCAGAATTCTACGGTGTCGGATCTCATTGGCTATCTCCTGAGCGAGGGGAAGAGTTCCCGTTTGCATTTTCGTATGGGAATTATATGCCTGTGTGCCTAGCCGAAGGATAGCCGGCAAGGCGAGCCTTCTGAACCAAGCCCGCAGGCTGCACGGTTCCGGGGTTACTCCCGTCCCAGGCAGGGCCGATGGTCCTCCCCGGATGTTATTGTCACCGTTGATATGCCTCCCTCATGAGTCCGACATCCAACGTGGTCGGTGACTTAAGAGATGCCGTCAGGACTGTCAGCGGTCTGTTGACGATGCCAGCGAAGCGATCCGGTTCGATCCCCTTCCGCAACTTGACCATTTCAACCGAGCGGAAGCCTACGAGGCTCCAGGTCGGGACTCCGAATCCGAGCGGGCCATAGGCCAGGCGACAAACCCCGCCGCAACCGTCCAAAGTTCCAAGTGTGTATAATGATGGCCTCACACATCAGCAAGGAGGACGCATGGCTATAAAAAACTGGGAAACCAAGACATCCCGTGTCGTATACCGCCGCCTGGCAGCGGGGGAATCACTTATGGACAGCCTCGAGTCCCTGGCCCTTTCAGAAGGCATCCGTGAAGCCGCCGTAATCTCCTGTATAGGAAGCCTAAGCCAACTAAAACGTCGTAATCTTTGCAACCTCGAAAGAGAGCATGAGAGGGAAACAATCGACGAAATTCTTGAGTTGGTAAGTGCAGAGGGTTACATTCAACCCCTGGAGGATGGTGGAGTACAGGTTCACATACACATCGCCGCTGCACGGCCTTCAGGCGCAATTGTGGGCGGCCACTGCGAAGCCGCTACATGCTTTACCGGCGCATACGTATATCTCCAAGTAATAGAAGATACACAGAGCTAAAACGTTCCGCCTGAATATCCAAGAGATTAGTCATCATCAAACCCCGACATTCCCGCTAT